TGTAACAGTCTATTATTTAGCATGCCTAATATAGCAAAAATCCATATGTCTACTGATGTGCGTCTAATTACCAAGACAAATTGATATATAATGTAATAATATATGATCACATAATGAAATACACCTTGCTCAACAAGTTACAAGGTGGAATGAAATTGATAACATTTTTCTGTTGTTAACATTTTCTATTGCTGTTCTTAGAAAATTCATAGAAAATTTATCAAAGGTCCAAATCAAAATCCGTAAATTCTGGGAGTTTTAAAAATGTTCTAGTTTGTTTATAAATTTTCTCATGATTTTTAATAACTTCCAACTTGTGTGAAAAGGGCCATAATCACAGACTGGTCCGAATGTGTTCTTGAAATGATAGGCAGTTTTGTAAAAATCACCATAAATTGTAGAAAAATCGTATGGAGATGTGCAAGTAGTCATTTTAAATCTAAGAACTTGAACTATTTTCACCTAGTATAGTTTTGAAAGATAAAATGTTTAAGTCGTCCAAAACAGTTTGTGAATGGAGTCCAACTTTTCTGATGAAAGTTGTTAGAAGAGTTTAGTTGTGTTCTTGTTGGTTTAACTTGCATTCCCCCCATTAAAAACTTAAGAAAATGTGAAAAGATACGTGTATGAACTCACTTCAAATGATTTTAGTAGATGATTGTTGGAGAAGAGAAGTGTTCAACTCAAGAACACTAGAAGATGCCTTGAAGATTTTCGAGAATCTAACACAAATATGGTGGAGTTTGTGTAAGGAATCAATGATTGGAGTTGAAGGGAAGTATAATAATCATATGAAAGATGAATTATACTTATCAAAAGTGGAGGAAAGCTTGATTATCAGCCTTGGGAGTCTCGAAATTGAGAGAGAAAGATGAGAGAGTTTGGAGGGTGATTCTTGGTGGAAAATGAAAGAATGAATGAAGTGTGAGAAGAGAGGGTGGGTTTTCCAGCCTCTAGAACGCGAGGAGGGATGGAAATGAGTGGGAAAGGACATTTACATGAATAGGGATGGTGGGGAGGGGTGTGGGTTGGTCTTGGAGTGGGTATTGGTGGTTGCTTGTGTCATAATCTAAAGGAAAATCAACACTCCACCATTGTACTTCATCCGCTCTTCTTGGATGAGGTTTATCCCCAAAAAACGTGATTAATTAATAAATATGGGGTCTTATATGATAAAATAAAGTTTTGGGTGAAAATCCCGCGTTAAAATGATGAAAAACGGGTTTAAAACGAAGTTGTAGTCGAAAACCGGGTGATTTTGGGCTTCCTGCGAGACCTCTCGGTCCTGGGCCGAGGTTCGGTCCCTTCTGGTCATGGACCGAAGGTGAAATGGAGCGAAAGGGGAAGAAGCGAAATAAACCGAAGGCGAAGGTAGGAAGTGAAGGCTTCGGGTGAGGTTCGTGCGAGGTTCGGTCCGAAGGTAAGTTCGGTTCATGGCCGCTTCGGTCCTTCAGCAGTTCGGTTCCTAAGAGGGGTTTCGGGTCCGAGAGGCTTCGCCCCATAAGAGGGGGTTTCGGCCCCTTGAAGCTATTTTACTCATTTTTACCCCGTTTCAAGCGATATTTATCCCGGTTAAGATTCGGGATGACCCGAATGATTACAAAAAGTTAAGGGAACTTTTGAGAGAGATTCGGGAGAGGTTTGGGATAGAGAGAGATAGAGTGAAAATGATTGAGAGAGGTTTCGTTTGTGACATTTTTGAGTGTCCGGCTTCGCAATGCGAGGTCCATAAACCCCGTTAAGCCATGTTTAAGGGTCCTACACACTCACGATGAGTGTGCAATAGTGTTTTATCGGTTTGGTTCATTACTTACCACAGTTTTAGGTTAAGGAAATCTAGATATACGAACTTTTCAATTGATGATTTCTCATTAGAATAGCGAGTTGTATAGTAATTACATAACGTAAACCCTAGTATACAAGGGTTAACTGAGTTGACCGGTTTGACTTGTTGACTTTGTTTGACTTTGACTTGACTAGAATTTGACTGTTGTCACAGGAACTGGCTAAGATTCGAATCGATTTTGACTTCTTGTCGTTTGGTTTGGAAATCGAACTGAAATCGGGAGGGGCCACAGCCCAATTTTAACACTAACAAGCCTATAATTAAAACTTTTGAAGATATATTTGCTATTAATAACCCAAATTTCAGGGGGGGGGGGGGGAGCCCCTCCTGGCCCTATACATAATCCGCCCATGCTGGAGGCACTACCTTTACGGTACAAAGTGCACCATTTTCAAGGATCACAAAAGCCTCCAGCACATTCTAAACTAGAAAGAGCTCAACATGACACAACTAAGATGGGTAGAGCTACTGAACGAATACGAGTGCGAGATCCAATACCATCCGAGCAAAGCCAACGTGGTAGCAGATGCCCTGAGCTAAATAGAACACTCGGGTCGCTGAGTAAAGTCACTAAAATGACCATCCATTCCCACTTGTATTCGCAAATCAAAGAGGCTCACCTGGAAGCCTTGAAACCATAGAATATTGCAAACGAAGTCTTGCGAGAAATGGATAAGAACCTTGCGATCAAAGACAAGGGAGCCTACTACCTCATGGATCGAATTTGGACACCGAAGTTCGGTGGGTATAGAGACGTTGTCATGAACGAAGCCCACTAGACAAAGTACTCCATCCACCCAGGTTCGGATAAAAATTAAGTATTTAATGAATTAAGTAATAGATAAGTGGTAGCATATCTCTTGATGAGATTAAAAAATAGATTTTCCACAGGATAAGTGTTATGTGATGAGTCATATAAAAAAGGATAGAGAGGTGGAGAAAGATGGTTCCTTCAGGGACACGGTGTAGATGTTCCTTCGGGGACAAGAGTATGATTCCTTCGAGAATATGTCCCTACGAAGGAAAGAGATGATTATCCTTTTTGGTATATAGATAGCTGATAATCCATTTGGGGATGTAGATATAAGGTTCCTGCAGAAACCCATATTATGTATGATGAGAGAAGATAGAGAAAAGGTTCCTTGAGAGGAACAAGATAAGAGAGTTCTTTGTAAGAAACTAGAAAGAATCCATAAGGGGATTCAAGAGTAAAAGAAATATAATGGATCCATGAGGGATCATAAGAGAGAGGAGTAAGACTAGATAAGTGTATTCAGTAGTATAATGGAATGTTGTTTCCCTTGGATGACAGAGAAAATTATATAATATGATGTGACGGACAGGTCTAGATGAGAACAGAATTATGGGGCATTAGAGAAGAGAAAGGGTAGTAAGAGACATATTACAGAAGAAAAAGAATAGAGTAGAGATAGAGTAGAAAATAAAGAGAGGGAAGTAAAGTAGAAAAGAGACAGGGTAGAGAAGAGAAAGAGTATAAAAGATACAGAGTCGAGAAGAGACATAGTAGAGAAAAGAAAGAGTAGAGAAAAGATAGAGTCGAGAAGAGAAACAGTAGATAAGAGACATAGTATAAAATAAAAATATATAGAGACGGATAAAAAGTATGAGTAGATGATGAGAAGAGTCTTAGAAGAGGCTAAGAAAAGAGTATATGACAAAGAAAGAGATAGGTGAGATGAGAAAGAGTATAAGGAAAGATTAGAGAAGAGAATAAGGGTTAGATGAAAGAAGAAACAATAATAATGTATGTTATTAGAGAAAGAGATTAGATTATAGAGTATGAGAAAGAAATGAAAAGAAAGATAAGCAAAAAAATATAGAATAATTCACCAGACACCGGACACATTGTGTTTGATATTGTAGATATGTTTTATATTTTGCAGGTTCAAGTAACAGCCGAGTACAAGATCCACAGTACAAGATCCATCACCATCCTTCTCTGCCAACATAGAGTGTGGAATGATACATCAGTCATACATATAATTGATTCATCAAGTTGACAATTTTAGACCTAAGGTGTTGTTTATTTATCTAAAAAAAAGTAGATTTTTGTACCATTTTTTGTTGCGCGGCGCAGCACACGTGCAACACTTGTCTTCTCGTAACAGTTTGTTTTTTTGGAAGGCTCAAGACTACAAAACTTCTGTGCGTTTTCTATACGGTGCAGCACTTGACTTGCATCTTCAAACTTCTTCAACTTTCATTTTTTCCAAATGATTTTTTAGAAATTTGGTATAACTTACTTTTTTTCAAACTTTAATTTTTTTTTTTTTTTAAATTTTGATTTTTTTAAACTTTGATTTATAGATTTGATACAATTTCTTTTTATAGTTTCCACAATTTTTATAACTTTATTATTTTTTTTAAACTTTGATTTTTAAAATTTTTTTTTACCATATCTATTAATAATATTTTCTATTTCGGTTGCATCTTTTTTAACATGCGTAATTCTTTTATGAACTTTGTAGACATTGTTTGCAATATTTTCTTAATTTATTTTATTTTCCTTTTTTATGTTTTTTTAAAATTAGTTTTTTTTTTCTAAAATAAAATTGAGTTTCTTTTATATTTTTTTAGAAATTTTATATTTTTGTTTTTTACATGTTCTTTTTAGTATTCTTTCAAGATTTTAGGACTAAAATTATTAAAATTTTGGAGTTGGAGAATTATTTTCACTTTATAAAATTAATTTATTTAAATATCAGTTTACTACAAATGATAAAAAACAAAAATATTTTTTATCACACGTTGCAGTCATTGGTGCATCTTTTTTATTGTTGCAGAGGGTTACATAAGTGGTCCACAGACTTTATTAAATTTCGTTTCGAATAAACAAACATCAACTAAATCTATTCTTCCATGTTATTGATATTTTTCGCCCCATTTGTCCTTCTTTTATTTCTCTATGTTGGCTTTGGCTTCTGCTAGGTCTTCAATATAATTCGCATAAGTTGCAATGTTGCATCCACCATAGGTCCGACCCTCATAATTTCACATAAAAATCCTTAAAACTTATACATAATATGTGATATTATTTATTACTCCAACTGAAATTTTTACTACCTTAAAATCCAAAATTTAGGATATTACGCACAAAAGAAGAAAAAATTACTTTCACAATAAACGTTATCATGTGGATATGAGAAATAGTTATTACCTTGTACGTTGTTTATCATAATCTTTAAAAAATTAATCAAATTACACAAGTTTAACTAAGATATTGGTATCTTACTGGACATGAATAACGAAGAGCAGTTACACAAAGCTGAGTGACATTATTATTTGAATCAATCGATTAGTAATTACAGTATGACTTTATTCTTTCATTTACAAACGAAGGTTGATTCAATTTGTATGAAATGTGTGCTTTAAATTTTCTTGTTTTTGTTGATGGGTTGAATCAAATCAGAATCACCAATCTGATTACGAATAGCCTTCAAGCTCTTTCTCAACAACCACAACTCCTTGACATAGTAATGAAGTCTGTCTATCATCAATCCCAAGAATAAACAAAAACCTACATCACATAAATCATGTTATTTTACAAACCGTTCATAAAATAAAGGGAAAAACCCATAAAACCCTTACGTATTATCTCAAAAGTCAAAATACTCAAAAGACATTATTTTTTTTTATTAAAACCATTTTATGTTTAGATGTTGCCTAAAATAATGTACTCTCATTAAAAACATAATATAGTTTGTATTCATTCAAATGTCCATCAAAATCGGTCCAATAACCTTATAAAGGGGATAATCTCAAACTTATTTTAAAAAATCAAACAAAAAATCATTGAGGAAGCATTAATTAAGATCAAAACATAAAACGGTTTCAATGGGAAAAATGTAACATACTTTTTTTTTTAGTATTAAGAGATAATATGTTGGGTTATTCTATAGTTTCCTCTAAAAGAAATATACAATTCATTACAAAATAACATAATGTACCCATGAGCGAGGCCTCAAGAATATGATTGGACAAAAGAACTCGATCGGTTGGATTAGTGACACCAACCTCCATCATGTGCTTTTGATTTTTATAAATACCATAAAGATTGAACACAAAAACTACTGATAATATCGTTGTAAGGGTTCTTGAGGCTACAAGGCCTCTACCTTGCTTCAAACGATCTAACCCCATAACGACTAGGTTCCTTATAGGTGAGTGAAACAGAAGAATTATGATCACTCCCATCTCTAATGCTAAGAGTGTAAATAAAAGTGGTGTCATCTTTTCCTTTTTGTCAATGGATTTTTGGAAAATGAGATTGAAAGGACTAAGGAAAAGTGGGAAATGAATGGCAATGAAAGATGATGATTTGTTGCATATCTTTCTTTTCTTCACTTTTGCAATTGCAATTTCATTCCAAACTTCCATCTCAATGAAAGAATCATATTCTCCTTCAAATTTTGGTTTTCAGATTACTTTGAACACTTATGACAAGTTTTCTTTTGAAATGTCATATATATGGAAAGGCATCAGTGGGTGTATCTAAAAAAATTGTGGATGTTGAACGACCATTTTTAGTGAATATTAAAAAGCCGTAATCTTTTAAATAAAAATCCTAATGCATGATCCAGACATTGATGCTATAGCAGTATAGCTTTAACCACACAAAATTTAAAAAAGCAATCACGCATGTCGGATAATAATTAAGGATTTTATGGACACAATTTATTTATTAGTGATTCTTTTCCAATTGATCAAATAAAAGACAACAAACATCAATTAATACTGTACTCGGAAAACACCAAAGAAAAATCAATAAGTATAGCTTCAAATGTTCGTAAAAGACACATCGAGGATCTTTTAGAGACTTAAAATGGTCACCCCAATTCCATGATATTTGGAAATACGGTATTATTTTTTATTAGTTTTGATTATAATACCATTTACCTATTTTAGGTTAATTTAAATTATTTACTGTACAATTGTTGATTATAGATACCTTGAGTCGTGAAATAACATATAATTACAAAAAAAAAAAAAAAAAAAAAACCCTAGAGGGTGCACATTGGGTCTGGCTCGATCTAGGACCAGTCAAGATCCTACGGTCCAACAATTCACCAGTCAAGATCGTATGGTTCTACAATTCACTAGGTCGATTGTGGCTTTGGTTTAAAAAAATCGAATACAGTTTTACAATTAAAAAATTCATCTGTTAATAATGTTTATTCTAAAAAAAATGATTTATACACAATAATTTCTATTCGTATACAATAATGATATGTTTTTTATACATATTATATAACCACTATAAATCTTAAATTATTAGGTATATATTTAAATAAAAATAGTTGTGACTTCCTTATGTTAAAATCATTTTTAAAGACCGGAGGTTTGGAATATGTTTCCGGTGTCCCGAGCCCCATTTCAGACTCATTATAGTTTAATACCAGTTATATGTTTATAGGGCCAAGCCCGGTTACATATATTTTGGATATTTTACACTTCTACATTCAATTCGGCCCATTAATGTTTGAAACACGTATATTGTTAGGTCATTAATTTTGATACATTAATGACGAATTTCCATCTTTCATGCTTATGTAAGGTGCGCATTATTAGACAAGATTCTTTAACTGTGAGAACGACAAATGATATCTCACATCATTTTGGTAGAAGATGTAAATTAATTATTAGTGGGGAATGGTATATAAAAAGGAATAGAGGCTAATGGAACACAATAGCATATTCTCTGCGTTACATTCTGCCCATATATACATCAAGATCCTATTCGGCAGACATTTAACAATAACCATATTACTTGTTGACCCACATCCACACAAAAAAAGTGACAAAGGCCACCTTTGAGAATGTACATAATTCTCAACCACCCGAATTGAAACTTTAATAATCTAGAACACACCGACTGCCTTTTCAACTAGCTCCTCTTGTGTACCTATGGAATACTTCCTTTTGAGTTTTGAGTTTAACCTTTCTTTAACGTTGCAACTCACAAATGCTTCTTGAAAATGTCTCAAGTTTTGTGCAAGCACACAGACCTTCAGAAATAAGCTTCTCAATACTTCTAGTTAATGAGGATAAATCCTCTTTGTGAAAAGATTTAAACTTAAACTCTGGCAAATGATTTTCAGGGTGAAATGGGCAACTTTGTAAGGTAAAATGTAACATAGCTAAAGGATCACCTTCAACTAATTCATTCACTCTACCATCATATAATTTGTAAAACGAAAGGGATGAAAACCCCAAACAAGAAGTCAAGTCTAAGGCGACAATATCTTTTAGACATTCAACGGGAGCGTGAAGTTTTAACAAGTTATAACACCCTCTGAGATCCAATTTTTTTATATTTGGAGTCAGCCCAAGGTCAAGGGTCCTCAACTTTGAATGACTAATTTTGAGGGATACAAGCTTTTGACATTGATCGACCAGTTGAAGTTGTTCCAAATCATAACAATCTTTAAGATATAAAGCACTGAGATTTGGAGTCAACCCAATGTCAAGGGTCCTAAACTTTAAATCAATGCATTGTAGGGTGTCGAGATTTATACATCTATGAGGCAAGTGAAGTTCTACCAAACTTTTGCATTCAGAAAGAAACAACTGATTGAGATTGGGAACCAGACTGAGATCAAGGGTCCTTAACTTTAAACATTCAATCTTGATGAATGTGAGCATTGGAGATTCGGCAATGTGAAATTCTTCCAAATCATTGCATCCATGAAGATCCAGGCTCTTAAGATTTGGACTCGACCCAATGTCAAGGGTCCTCAGCTTTAAACCAACAAGGTGGAGGGATCTGAGCTTTAAACATTCATCAGCCATGTGAAGTTCTTCCAAATCATTACAATTTGCAACATCTAAATCCTCGAGATTTGGAGTCAACCTAATGTCAAGGGTCCTCAAGTTTGAAAGGGAGAGATGGAGGGATATGAGATTTAAACATGTATGGGGCATGTGAAGTTCTACCAAATCACCACCACTAAGCCACAACTTCTCGAGATTTGGAGTCAACCCAAGGTCAAACATCCTCAACTTTACACCATAAATGTTGAGGGATCTGAGTTTTAGACATTCACCAGGCATGTAAAGTTCAACCAAACCAGATCCATATCCATTACTTTGCAGTGTCAATGTCTCAAGATTTGGAGTCAACCCAAGGTCAAAGGTCCTCAAGTTTTTACCATGGAGGTGAAGGAATCGAAGCTTGTTAAGAACCTAACATAAGCAAAATAACATAATGAATATTAGTATAATAACAAAGCAATGGATGCATAGCATTATAATGAATCATGCAAAACAATTAGTCAACCACAATTTTACCTTTTTTTCTCCCCTTTCCCAAAGTTGTACGATATTGCTATAAGACATCTCAAGTGAGACAAGATTATTTGCTTGAAATGATTTTGGTAAATAACTGAAATTGTACCCATCCCATCGCAGATATCGTAAAGCATCTGGAAAGTATGGGTGGACTTCATTAAATTTCCAATTACAACAAAGAAATCCTAAAGCATTTAGAAAGTTTGGGATGATTTTATTAATATCCCGATTCGAGTAAAATTCTTGATCAGCCACATCGAGAAACCAAAGTTCTGTCATCTTTCTAAGACCTTTCATACTGATTTGCCGATCCAGTCCCCTATAGTAGAATTTCATACATCTTGTTGCTTTTGTACCCTGTAATATAAAAGCAATCAACATGAAACTTGTTTGTAACAAATGAAAATCCATTAGTTACTCCAACTTACTAATAAACTTTGATCCTTACCATGTCATTAGCCAATATATCTTCAATTTCTTTTCTATCCCACAATCGGCTATGTTTGTTAGGGGGATTCGAGCGACGAACAATATTCCTGCCCATTTCTTGTAAATGGTCATGCATGCCCAAGCGCTCGCCATCAATAGTTATGAGAGACTTTTGCTCAAGAACTCTTAAACCAATTCTAGCATAAAATCCACAGCTTTCAAGTGCTCCAATAGCTGAGTTTTTCAGCCAACCTTTTAAGATGGTTGCAACATCTAGGAATATTTCCTTATGTTCTTCATCTAGACTGATATAGCTTAATTCCAACTTCTTCTGAGTTTCCTCTAATGGAATGGTTTTTAGTCTGGCTAGGGCATCTACCCATTCGGGCTTACTTTTACCACAAAGAAATGAACCCAAAACTTTGATCGTCAAGGGAAGACCAGCAGCATAACATACAACGTGTCTTGAGAGCTCTTCGTATCCTTGAACTGGAATCTCTTTTCCAAATGCATACCTACTAAAGAGCCAAATTGCTTCCTTATCTGATAACAAATTGACATTATGAATCAATTTCACTCCATGTGCTACCAAGACTTGCTCGTCTCTTGTTGTAATGATAATTATACTTCCCGGTTTAAACCAACTAGGGTCACCGGCTAATACCTCAAGCTGGTTTAGATAATCCACATCATCTAGAACAAGAAGAACCTTTCCACCATTTAAAGGGATTTGACTTTGTAACGAATTCAAAGAAGCTTTTGAAACTTCCCTCACGTTCTCAATAAAGCTTTTGCCTTCAAACTGAAAGGACAATGTATTGAAAATAGCTCTAGCCAAAGTTGTCTTCCCACCACCTCCTATTCCCCAGATCCCGATCATGTGAACATCATCTGAAGCAGTTCCTAAAGATGATATAATATCGTTGATCCGAGTCTCCATGCCTACTAAGTTTTTATCAATGCGAACATTGATGGCACGTAACTCTAGTGAAAGCTTTTCAACAATTTGTCGGATGAATTTTGCTTCATGCCTGTATTTTAGAGAAGATTCAGTTATATACCTTACTCAAAATCACACATACAAACATATATTAGGTAATAACATTGTAATATAATCATATGTCACGTTAATCATTCAAGAAACCGGGATTGAGTTAAGATTTGACAATTCAACATGAGCAGCCATGTCTGAGCCCCTTTACATCCAAGATAAACATATAGATAAAAAAGAAACAAAATGAAAGAATACTGTAGAGATACGATGGAAGAAATTACCCGTCAGTGTTCTTCAACTCCCACCCTGCCACATCAGCTACTTCTTTCAAAGCCTTCCTCCATTTCCCAGCAGCCTCTTCATTTTCATGTTTCGCAAAGGCTTCTCCAACTGCCCCGATCTGATTGCGGATTTCGGAGGGTTCCACATCATAGAATACGGGGTAAACAGTATGTTCGGTTGTCTTGTGACACTCCATTATCTTTAGAAGCTCATTCAAGCACCAAGATGAAGATGCGTAGTTCTTGGAGAAAACAATGATGAAGAATTTTGAGTCTGCAATGGATTCCTTGAGCTCATCACTTATCCTTTTCCCTTTCTTAATCTTCTCGTCGTCCTTGTAAGTGGAAATGCTTTTCTGCTGAAGAGCATAATAAAGATGATCGATGAAGTTCTTACGAGTGTCTTCACCTCTAAAACTCAAAAACACATCATACTTAAAGCTCTTATGAACGGAGGAAGTAGAAGAAGACGCCATTTACAGTATGCTTAAAGGATAAGATAATATATTTGTTGGGGAAATTTTATATGAAACAATTGCAAAGAAACTTGGATGAGATGAATTGAGCAACCATCACGATGTAATATAAGCTTATAGCACTGTGGTTTGGCGAACGTCGACATCAAAGAAGAGGATAAGATCTATGTAAATATGTGGAGAAACAAACGCCGCTTGTTTGGTCAAAGAAGAGGATAAGATTCTTTGCTAAAAAGGGAAAGAATAATGGAAATTGGGCATCTTACATGTTTCTGCCAGGACTAGATATCCACAACTTTGTTAATTGATCGACTTTTTTATATAAATTATATGAGGTATAACAGGTGGATAACTGTAACGAACATTACCATATTTTTGGAATTTGTCCGTGGTTCTCACTTTATCTAAATTTTATCATCACCTAAGCTGCATTAGTTATGATGGGGTTGGCATATTTTGTTCAGTATACATATTAATTTAGTGAAGCCATATGTTGTGTTCAATAATGGGATTATAGGAGGTGGGAAGGTTGTTTCTAAGCCCACATTTTAAACTACTTTAGTAACTCATGTGAGTTTTTCGTGCTTACAGAATTTTCTTTCATACCTTTGCTTTATTTTTTTCGTGACTTTATCTTTAAAAGTATTTATTTTTTCCCAGCATTATTTTTAAGCTTTATAGGTATAATCCCGGGATATTTAATATGAAAATTATGTTCCTTGCATTTAAGATGGAAAGCATATCCTAAACCATAGTTTATGCATTTTCAGATTGGAGGCTGATATTGTATATCCTCTGTGTGGGATATGTATCACATTCAGAAAGAAAAGAAAGTCAAAGTCAACTTACTAGTGAATCAAGAAGCCCTCTCGACTCAACAATACATGCACCTTCTAGGCTTCTTCTATATCTAACTCGTTTAAGCACTCAATATTCTTCAAGTGGCTTGACATTTGGTTTCATATTGGTCTTTAAACATTTGTTGTAGCTAGAGATGGAACCTGCTTCTTAGCAAAGAGTTCCATCCCACACGAACAAAGTATCCAAGTATTAATAAAGAGTTTTTTTTTTTTTTTTTTTTTTTTTTTTGGGTTTTGTTTTTAATATTAAAGCTTTGATTTTCAATTTATTTTATTTTAGTTTTAGGTCTGAATATTACTAAGACATTATCATGAAATAGATGAAGCAGATGGTTGAAGATACAGGCAAAATTGCTATTTCAATTAAATTAACACGAGGGGATGTTAAATTTCATGATGTAGGGACCAAAAACCTTAAGAAACATAAAAATAAGGACCAAAATTGCAATTCAATTCCTTGAGGGACCAAAACCGAAAAAAGAAGCTAAATCTAGTTACCAAAATTGTAATTTACTCTAATAATAATAATGGAAATATCTATCCGATACATCCAATTTTACTTTAATCACTATTATTTCATCAAATATAAACAGACCCTATAAGTTTCCTTCTTTTTTCTAAAAGGAGGAAGTACAACCTATCATGCTTTACTTAAGGTGTTGTTAAACCATGATTATGAACATTTGGAGAAAGTATGACCCAGACTCTTCCTTTATGTATAGTACTTGTATCTTTTTAAATACAATTATTGACCTTTTGCTGAAATTTTAAATGTTGTCATATCAATTTGAAATTTTAAATGAAAGTAAGATGAATAACAGAAAACTAAGAAATTAGCTGCTACAATAGCTTCTTGTGAAATGGCTTTTCAGAGCTTCTCAAAATTATTTATGGAGCACATGAGAGTATACTCCAAATGCTTTAGGAATACTGCGTTTGAGTTCAAACTGTTTTTAAAGTTCTAACCGAATGCTTCTTAAAATCGTCTCAAGTTTTGTGCAACCACACAGACCTTGAGAAAAAAGCTTCTCAATAGTTCTAGTCAATGAGAGTAGATCTTCTTTATGAATACATGTAGACTCAAAATTTGTCAGATCTTTGTCGGGGTGAAACGGGCATCTTTCTAAGGTGAAATGTAATTCAGTTAAAGGACGAACCTCAAGTGAGTCACTCAATTTAGCACTACTATTATCCTTTTTGTGAAACACAAAAGATCTAAACCCGAAACAGCCACTCAAGTCTATGTAGACAATATTTTCTAGATATCCAATGGGAGCATGAATTTCCACCAAATTGCAACATTCTTTAAGTACTAACTTCCTAAGATTTGAAGTCAGACCAAGGTCAAAGGTCCTCAACTTTGAATGACTAATGATGAGAGATTTGAGCTTTTGATGTTCATCTGTCATTTGAAGTTCTTCCAAATAATTACAGTTTAAAACTTCTAACCAGTCAAGATTCGGAGTCAGCCCAATGTCAAGTGTCCTCAACTTTGACCCAATGATTCGTAGGTACCTGAGATTTAGACACCTACAGGGCATGTGAAGTTCCTCCAAATAATAACAATTTGTAAGTTCTATACTGTCAAGATTAAAAGTCATCCCAATGTCAAGTGTCCTAAAACTTAAATTATAGAGATAAAGGTACTTGAAATTCAGACAACTGCGGGACATGTGAAGTTCTACCAAATCTTCACAGCTATAAAGAGACAATGTCTCAAGATTTGGCGCGTGTCCCAGGTCAAGTGTCCTCAACTTTGAACCAGAAAGTTTGAGGTATTTGAGCTTTAGACATTCATTGGGAACATGAAGTTCTACCAAATCATAGCATTTTTCAAGATCTAACTTCTCAAGATTTGGAGTCATTCCAAGGTCTAATGTCCTTAATTTTGAACCATCAAGTTGGAGGGATCTGAGCTTTGAACATTCAATGGGTATGTAAAGTTCTAGTAAATCACTGTTAAGATCTAACTGCTCAAGATTTGGAGTCTGCCTGAGGTTAAGCGTCCTCAAGTTTGAACCATGAATTTTGAGGGTTCTGAGCTTTGAACATATAACAGGCATATGAAGTTCTACCAAGTCACCATGTCCTCTAAGTTTCAATTTCTCAAGATTTGGTGTCAACCCAAGGTCAAGCGTTGTAAACTTTGAACCTGTGAATTTGAGGGATCTGAGCTTTGAACATTCAACTGACATGTAAAGTTCTACCAAATCACCATCAAGATCTAACTTCTCAAGATTTGGAGTCAACCCGAGGTTAAGTGTCCTCAACTTTGAACCATAAATTCTGAGGGATCTGAGATTTGAACATTCAACAGGCATGTAAATTAGTTCTAATAAATCACTTTTAAGATCTAACTCCTCAAGATTTGGAATCGGTCCAAGGTTAAGCGTCTGCAACTTTGGGCCATAAAGTTTGAGGGATCTGATCTTTGATGATTCATCAGGCATGTAAAGCTCTATCAAATCACCATGTCCTCCAAGCGTCAATTCCTCAAGATTTGGAGTCAACCTGAGGTCAAAGCTCCTCAACTCGGGCCCACTAAGTTGAAGGAATTTGAGCTTGTTAAGAACCTAACATACACAAAATAACTATATGAATTAATAGTGGAATAATAACAAAGCAATGGATGTTATAGCATTATAATGAATCATGCAAAACAACTAATCAAATCACAACTCTACCTTTCTTTCTCCCCCTTCCCAAAGTTGTACGATATCGCTGAAATCCATGCAAAGTGAGACAAGATTATTTGCATGAAATGTTTTGGGTAAAGACCTAAAAGGATACCCATTCCAACGCAGATATTGTAAAGAATTTGGAAAGTGTGGGCTGAATTTATTAAGTTTCCAATCGCAACACAGAAATTCTAAAGCATCTAGAAAGTTTGGGATGAGTTTATTAATTCCCCGGTTCCATTCACGAGCCTCTGCATCAAGAAACCGAAGTTCATTCATCTTTCTAAGACCTTTCATGAAGATTTCCGGATCGAGTCTCCCCCCACAGAATTTTATACATCTTGTGGCTTCAGTACCCTGTAAACAAAAAAGCAATCACCATGAAACTTGTGTTGTATAAAATGAAAATGGGTTAGTTACTCCAACTAACAGATAAACATGATCCTTACCAAGTCATTGGTCAATATATCTTCAATTTCCTTTCTATCCCACAATCGGCTATGTTTGTTAGGGGGATGGGAGCTACGAACAATATTCCGGCCCATTTCTTCGAAATGGTCATGCATGCCAACACACTCATAATTATCAACAGTTATGAGAGATTTTTGCTCAAGAACCCTTAAACCAATTCTAGGATGAAATCCACAGCTTTCAAGTGCTTTGATTGTTGAGTGTTTCGTCCAACCTTTTAGAATGGTTGCAATATCTAGAAACATTTCCTTGTAATCATCATCTAGACTGGTATAGCTTAATTCCAACTTCTTCTGAGTTTCCTTTAAAGGAATTGTTTCTAGTCTGGCTAGGGCTTCTTTCCATTCAAGCTTACTTTTACCACAAAGAAACGAACCCAAAACTTTTATTGTTAAGGGAAGACCAGCAGCATAACATACAACTTGTCTTGATAGTTCTTCGTACCCTTGAATTGGAATCTCTCTCCCAAATGCATGCCTACTAAAGAGCCAAATTGCTTCCTCCTCTTTTAACAAATTGACATTATGAATCAATTTCACTCCATGTGCTACTAGAACATGTTCATCTCTTGTTGTAATGATAATTATACTTCCAGGCTTAAACCAACTAGGGTCACCAGCTAAAGCTTCAAGCTGCTCTACATGATCCACATCATCTAGAACAATAAGACTCTTTCTACCACCTATCATCCAGGACATCATGTTTTTCCCCTCTGAAACACTACCTACATTGTTGCCATGATTATTCAATACATTTGAAAGGATTTGATTTTGCAACAGCTTCAAACCGGATGAAGAAGCATTCGAAACTTCCCTCACTTTGTCAACAAAACTTTTGCCTTCGAACTGATAAGATATATTATTAAAAACAGCTCTGGCCAAAGTCGTCTTCCCACCACCTCCTATCCCCTTGATCCCAATCATGCGTACATCATCAGAAGCAGTTACCAAAGATGATAAAATATCGTTGACCCGGGTCTCCATCCCTACTAAGTTTTTATCAATGTGAACATTAATGGAACGTAACTCTAGTGAGACCTTTTCAACAATTTGTCGGATGCATTTAGCTTCATGCCTATATATAAGAATCAAATTCAAGTTCAATTAGCTACTCAAAATCCCAGC